ACCTAAGCAGGCCCTGAAGGAAGCAAGACAAGCCAGAACAGCTCAAGCCAGAGGAAGTCACCAGATCGCTGGCAGTATGACTGAAGACCCAACACTGCAGCAAGATATCATACCTGGAGGCATCCCAAAGATTGAGCTGTTATACCACCTGGCATGGATGATAACAGATGCATCTCCAGAGTTAGGTGAAGACGACCGGGTGAAAGTTAGTCTTAAGCAGCAAGAACAAGTTCTCAACCTTGCCCAGGATGTCTGCCAAGCAGTTGCCAAGATCCCAACACCGAAACACGTTGGGATAGCCGTTAAGGAAACCAGAAGTCAACCGTGTCACTCCTAAATAGATTTAGGAACAGCATCAGCTACAAAGAAGTACATATATTTTACAACAATGGCAGTTGAAGAGCAGACAACTAGGGATGGTGCCTTCATACCAACGAACCTGAAGGTTTGACGATTCACACAGTTTGATAAACTTGACTTCCCAGAGTACACAAAGGATGGACGAACACTGCATGGCAGTTCATTCCAAGCATTTACCATCCCAGATACCATCCCCGCAACTGTGATAAGCTATGGTCCCATCTTCCCCAAGTCACCAACAAACTATTGGAGGACCTGGAACCAAATTGCACTGCTCCTACATGGAAATCATTCCAACATTTCTCATCCCAGATACCATCCCTGCAACTGTGATCAACTGTGGTCCCTTCTTCCCCAAGGCACCAACAAACCACATCTGATCATCACTGAGCGGGGTGGTTATGGCGCAGTGGATAAGACACATGCCTTTGGTGTGAGAGACCGGGGTTCGAATCCACTGTGAGACACCAATGTGTCCTTGAGCAAGACACTTAACCCTTAGTTTCTCCAGAGGTGTGTGACCTCTGACATATATAGCAATTGTAAGTCACTTTGGATAAAAAGCATCAGCTAAATGAATAAATGTAAATGATCAATTCACTCCTCTTTTTTCATCTACTATTCTTCTCTCTTGTTCAGTCCACCCCTGTCCTCTTCACTCTAACTTCTTCCTTCTGTTCGTCCTCCACTCCTTTTTACAGTCCTTTCCAATCGTCTGCTGACTTCTCTTCTCGTTACCTTTCCTCCACAGCAAACCCAATAAGATCAGAACCAAATCTGCCAATGGAAAATATTGTGCATTTCGGGTGAAAGAAATCTAGATGTTTGACACTAGGTAACTAGCTTTTGACAAATCACTCACTCTATACTGTACAGTATTATATACAAAAAAAACAAACTATGCATACATATAGT